CGCAGATGTTTGACGGAGGATCGTTGAGAAGAGACGTCCCCAAACTCCCCAAGAGAGCAAGGAGAAATGCAACATTGGCTCTTGTTTTTTCTTTCTCCCTGAAAAATCGGAGGCCATGTGGAAGGCAAGACGACGCACCTTCCCGAAGACGAGGTTCGGATGACCACGTTCCAATCCACGGGTCCGAACGTCAACCCGCTCGGGGCCGCTGGGGGCGCGGTCCGTGCGGCGGATTCCTCCGCGCCCGGCTCAGCGCATTTCCAAGGACAATCCATCCTTCACCAGGTGCTGGGCTTAGTATATATATATATTATAGTATATATACTTGGACTTTGGGAACATACCATATATTATATATACTTGGACTTTGGGAACAGAGCTGGAGGTATGCCGAAAGTTTCGTTTCAAGTACCCTTGTAAAACAGTAGGCCACGGAGCAACACACTAACCTTGTATAATAACTCTTGTTCACAAAGAACCAGAACAAAGGACCAAACACATTTTCACCGGTTCCTTCGGGGACTCTGGATGAGTGCGGTCTAACAGACCCATCCCAGGACACCCTAAGGGGTGATTATTGATAGCCCCTTAGAGGTTAAGGGGTGTCCACCACCCCTTGTGGGTCCTAGTCTAGATTTCTTTCGTTTGAGAATGTATACAGTATACTGCATAGAGTGAAAGTGAGTCTTTTGGACAGTTTCCATCCGCGAGACCTTCTTGACTAAGACCCCATATCCTTCCCCCGTCCACCCCAAACTACACTCTTGGCAGCCAGCAACATGACCATCAACTCAGATTCACATGATTGTGCTACACTGAGGTGGGAATGGTGGTTTGGGGAGTCAATGAAGCATCTGGGATATGGATCAAAGCTGCGAAACCGACCCAGTCCAGAAAACAGGAGGCATCAGTGCGGCTGCGGCGATGTCGCGGCGATTTAGGACGGGTCTGCAGATGCGAGTGGGCGTGAAAGACAGCTGGGATGAGAACCCGGTCCGGCTGCTAAGACCGGAATCTGTGAAATCCAGAGGCACAGAGTGAGGCGAGCAAGTGGGAGGTCTATGAAACTCAAGTTAAATTGCTATGAGTTGCTATGAGTTGCCTGCTTTTGAACCTTTCCAAGAACTCAAGCGACCGACGAGAATTCCGTTCGTGCTGCCGTGGTTGCCGTTTTCCGTTCGACTGTGCTGCTGGATCCGAGGTCTGTGCCAGTGACATCGCCCTGCAGACGGTGGGCGTCACCGCCGTGAATTGCTTCGCCGGAGGGCGCTTCGTCTTCATAGGCGGGGTGCGTTGCGTGGTGGAAATGGGCGCGGTGGCGGGTGTGAAAACGCGCGCGCGGGCGGTGGTATGGTAGGCGGTGGGTTTGGGCCGCGCACCGCACCTGTGAACGGTGTGGGTCACCTTTTGGAAGAAGGAGACTTGGCAAAGGCTTTGTTCCTTGCCTCCGGTGTAGTCGGGTGGTCAGGTGCTGCTCCGCTTCTGATCACTTTTTGAGGACGAAAAACGTTCGCTCAGTTTACTGGTGTGACTCCCATCCACCTCCCCATTCCCATCCAAGCGCCCATTCTTTTTGACGCTGACTTCTTCGCACCGCACGAACGGATGTCGTTTGGATCGGCAACGCGACAAAAACGCGCCAAACAACGCGGTCTTTGCCGCCTTCAGGAGCCCCCAACACGGACAACGCGAGGCCGCGGGAAGCGTGGACCAAAGCACGGCACGCGGGCAATCCGCTTCCCGTGTGGAATTGGTATAAACCACACTCGAAAACAAGACCTGTTGATCGCTTTTGATTTGATGGTCCTTGATGAGGGATCAGGAGACACCAGAATCCTGAAAAAACAAGATCTTTTGAGGTCAGTCCGGCGCCGAGCTCTAGCTATACCTTAAAAGACCCCCCGTGGGTTGAACACCAGCTCAACCATGCTCAACCAGCCAATCTTTGTTCCCTTGAGTCGCCATTCCTTTGAGAGGGATCGCGAGGCCAAAGCCTGCATGGCTTTCCTCCAAACCGTTTGGACAAACATGACAAACTGCTTCCACCGGATCCGAAATCCCAGGACAGGTCCTCTGAAATCGAGGATTTTGGGGGGCCTCTGACCTCCAAGATCTCGCCAGGCTGTCCATTTGCGAGATTGACGTGGTCATCCGAGGGCCCAAGGAGGGCGGGCTGAACACGCTGTTGACGCCTTCCCGCTCGCGCTCGTGCGCGCGCGCCTGCCGGGCGCGAGGGGTGACGCCGCACGCAAGGAGAAGGGCCGCACTGTGCAGCAAAATGGGTGGCCTTGGAATTGGACTGTCAAGCATGAGCTCTGTAAGATTCTGTAAGTGGGTGTGGATTTGAATAGGGTGACCCCCCTGGGTAAAAAGGGTGATTTGTTCCTTCTTGCGACCGTTGCCTGGGAGGTCTCCCTATTTATACACACCGGTCCATTTCAGATGGTGCAGGACTTCAATTCTTCAACTGTGTAGTTGGAAGAACGACATTGATACGAGGATTCAGAGCTACTCGCAGCTTCGGTTAGGTACCTGAGGGCACCTGATATTTGGAGATCATCATCCTTGGACGTAGATAGAATATGAACCAATCCGAAAGAAGACAGAGTTTCCTGTAGTTGTCTTTGTTATCATCTATTTTTCCATATTGATTGTAATTGGCCAGGATGGGATGTTTGGGCCAATTGTCCTTTACTTCTTATCCCGCGTTCTCGGGATTGTTTGCTGGTCTCGTCTTGGCAGATGGCTCTTCACGGGTTGCTTCACCAACCAATGGACCAAGAACCACAAAAGTTTGGGGGTGTCAACTGTGGATATGAGGAGAACTGGATCAATGCTTGGTATACCGGTTCTTGATTCTTGATCCGTGTTGCCATTTCCCCTATGAAATGGGAGGGGTCAGGCCTTGTATTAAATAACATATTAAAATGTTTTTTTGGCTTGCCTAAGCCATTTTGTAGAGCCCATTTTGTAGCAAAAAGCGTGCTTCTGGAACCTGGCACCCATTTTGTAGCAAACAAACATGAACTGTCATGGAGCCTGGAACCTCATTCTCTAGTAAAATCTGGTCACTTTTTGGTGGTGTATCTTGCAACCCAGGAACTCATTTTGTAGGGGAGAACGTGGCTTAGTTTACACTTGTCATTTGGCTCAACAAAAAAACACCGAGAACATGGGAGCCCAAAGCTTTTGCCCTCCGGCTTGTTTGGCTTGGTTTCCCTTTGGTTTGCCTTCACACCAAGGGTGGTCACAAAAACGCAAATATATATATATATATATTTATTTAGCTCTATAATAACCTGGACAGCTTCTACAAAATGGCCACCCAAATGCCACCTAAGCATGGCAATTACACTTCTAGGCCCGTACTCCTTGTAACCACCCTGGCACCTGCAATGCTTTGAGGATCTTCGGGGAAGCTTCATTGTGGGCCCCCCCCTTTGGTGATCAACAAACATGTCTAAATATGAAGCTGACTTATTCAGGATATGGGGGAATGACCCTGGGTGAGTAGTTGAGTGAAACATAAAAAGAGACTACAGAAGGCTGCCTGACTCATTTAGCAGAATCCGCGCGATTATTTTGAGAGATTGTGGGAAGGCGGGCGCCCATTTTGTAGCAGAACATTTTTTTGTCTGATGGGGGACGAGCCCCTTGTCAGGAAGCCATTTTGTAAGGCTGCATTCCTTTGCAACACCCTTTTTGTAAGGCTCAGGTCGTTCTGTACTACAAAATTTGTTTCCACGACCCCACCCCTAAATGGTTACCGGGATGGTTCTTGAAGTTCTCGGACCCCGAAAACAAAAAACACCGTTATCCATCATCGGTGCCATTGGACGCTCTGCTTTTCCGTCCTCTTCGCTTGGCTCGGCTCCGTCCCAGGAGGTGAAGCAATACCTCGGTGCCATTGGACGGCCCATGGATATTCGCTGCCCGGCCACGCCAAAAGCGCGCGCTGTCGGCGCCGTCGGCGCCGTCGGCGGGTAGAAACCCCTTCTCTCGCTCCGTTCTCTTCAGAGTGCAGCAATAAGGTTCATGAAGCCCGCGGTGTGTTTTGTTTTTGTGGGAGATCATGGTCGATCGATTGGGTTTCTTGGTTTCTCAGGCCTTCGCCTTCTCGGTGTCGAGGCCGCGTCCATCCCAGGTGTCGAGGGCGTGGGCCTCTTGTCCCAGGAGTCGGTCGAGTCGGGCTCTGGCGGTTCCGCCGGACTGGGGACTGGGGCCATTGGGGCCTTTGAGCTCGGAAGTCCATTCCTGTTTCAGAAAGGATGTTGGTTAGGGATGTGTCCCAACGGGGTGCATAGGAATGTCAGAAAACTGGCTAATTCATTCGGCGGCTAGGACTTGCTCCACCCATGGTTTTTCGGTTTGACTAGGTCTTTTTCTGCGCAAAAAGTGTTCGGGGCTGGTTTGCTAAGCTCGCTAGGGTCCACCATGATGCCACGATGTCGCTAGCCTTGAAGACACCATGAAAGCAAGGTTGTCCTGGCGTTGTAGTCTAAAATCCTCCATGTTCTCGACCTCTTCATCCACGGGTGCTGCGTCAAATCGTGCGAAGCACACAGTGGTGCAGCTAAGCAGAGGGCCCAGCAGCCGGGGAAAGCACTGAAAGAACAATGGACGAACACCAGTATGCCATGAAACAAACTGCAAAAAAGCCGATAAACATCGATAAACCATGTTAGCCAGCACCTTCCTCACATTCACCCCAGGTGAACCACCCCAGGTCCTGAAAACCACGTCGCGCTTCGGATCTGGAAGGACCGGCTCCGTATCGTGAAGCCCTCCGTCTTATGCGGCTCGTCCGGGCACTCGGGGACGAGTCCCTGGCATGACGTCACAAGAAGCGACGGTATGTCCTACATGATGGGGTGTTCATCAAGTCGGCCCGAATTTCGAGGTCTTTTGGGGGGTGGTTCTACCACAAACCTGGTGGGTCCTGCTGGGGAACAGAGGTGAAAAGGATTTTTTCAAGGTCTACGGTCTACTTCAACCAAGATCTTGACAGTGAGGGTTTATGATGAGACCCTGTTGCAGTCGAACGTAATTGAGGGCACCTGTTTGACTCTTTACCATTGATCTGGATCTGGATGTTTCCATGGATCCATTCATTTTCAGTTTCTGACTTCAGCGAACTGCTTGGTTCGAGCTTCCCAATCGACCACCCCCCAGACTTCATCTTCGCCATGTGACATGGCGCAGAGCGCCCCGGTCGAAACACCCTCGCCCACGGCACCCGCCATGGCACCGGCCACAGTGCCTGCGGTTACGGCCGTGGCGCCCGTGCCGACGGCCACACCCACGCCGACGGCCACCCCCTCGGCACCGCCTGGGACGCCTGCAGCACCGCCCGGGACACCGGTGGCCCCCGCCGGGTCGCCGGACGCCAGCCAGGGACTGCCTACGCCCGTGACGAGCGGGTGCGGCGACGCCTCGACGGCTCAGCCCATGCCCGCCGCGCTGGCCATGGCGGCGAAGGCAGTAGCGCCGTTGGAGCAAGTGCAACGGATCTTCGCGGAGAGGAGTAAGGAGTTGAACACTGCCTTGGGGGAGATGGAGGCGAGAGCGGGAAAACCACTGGAACCTGGCCAAAAATCCGAACAAACCAAGATACATCAAGATACCAAGACCTTTTGTACGCGTTGTAATGTGTCATCCAGCCTGCTAATTGTTAGGGTTTTGCTTCTCTAGGTAGCCACTTTCTCTTTGCTAAACAAAACTGCCAGAAAGGTGGAAAGGAAACATGTGGAAGGAACGCATCTTGTGTCGAAAAAGGCTTGAACCCATTCGCTCTGCTTTTGTTGAACCCATTCGCTGCGATCCAGGTGAAGGTGAACTCGCTGATGCGAACACCTGAGAAGTCTCCACAGCTCAGTTGGGAACACCGCTGTGCTGTCGCCGTGGGCGAGCGCAGCGGTGAGGGAGCTGACTCTGCCAACCTGCGCGTGCCTTGGCGGATCGGCCACACCGAGCCGGTGCCAAGCAAACCATACCGAGAACGCGCAACGGGTTCGGTGTGATCGATGGGTTCGGACCCTTCCGACCCTTCCGACCCAGCTTCAGTTTCTGTGGTTTCTGGAGGTGCCGCGCACATCATCGTGATGCGCATTGCGACCACATGGACGCGGACACAAGTGACATAAGTAGATGATCAACGTCTTTGGGGATTTGGCGATGAGGTTTCGTCCTTCGACTCTGTTTGAATGAAGTGGGCCCCTGAACCACTGTGCTCATAGTAGGGGGCCCAAGAGAAACTTGGTGCCTGATTTTGAGACCAGCCTTGGCCATGGGAGGTTGGTTTCTAGATGGCCAGGGCAACCAACATGTGGAAAAACAAACATGTAGACTCTTGATTGATCAAACTCCCATGTGAAGTGCTTTACAGCCTGCATTGCGGGGGATTTTATTCATCAAGAGTCTACAGACCTGGATCTGGGTGGTAGGGAACAAACGAACAAACAGAAACATCCTCATGTTTTCAGGCCTGTTGTGAAAGGCTCTATAGGATAGAAGAATGACCTTTTCGGCCAAAAACAGCGCGGTGGTGGCCGAAACAGCTGATCCGGTCTTTTCTCGCATCTGTCCGGACGAACCGAACCGAGACTTGACCCACATGGGCACATGATATTACACCCAGGAAGACAGGAAGAGACCCACATGGAACCTGAACATGAACCTGCGATCGGAAGACCTTTTTCCTCTACAACCCGAGGAAGTGAACTCAGGTTCCATGTGGGTCTCTGAACCAGGGCGTTTTTGTGTTTCTGGGGCCCCCTGTGTTCCAGACGTCGTGGGCAGTCAAAGATGATCACGATTCTGGAGATATAAAGTAACCAGTAACCAGTAACCTCATTACTGTACTAGTATCAGTATCCGGTAACCTCATGGCCTTTTACATCCTTTTACCAATGATCATGAAGTTTTATTGTTTCCATGTTTGAACACTTTTGTTGTGTACCCGTCGCTTCTGTGGCTTTTGGTTTTCGTTGGCTTCTGTCGCTCTTGGCTTTTGGCTTCAGTGGCTTCTGTGGCTTCTGTGGCCCTTGGCTTTTGGTGGCTTCTGTGGGCTTTGGGGTGACATCTGGGTTCGGCTTGGTTTGGCTTTTGATGGCTTGCTTTTGGTTCTCGTGGATTTCTTTGGATGGCTAGGTTTTTGATAACATATTTTGTTGGCACTTGGTAGTTTTCTGGTGGATTTTGGGTGGCTTGGCACTTTGGTTTGCCCGTGTGGGAGGCGCTGCGCAACCCCCTCCAGCTTTTTCGAGCCAACGCAAATTAACCGACGCTACTGAAAAACTGCGCCTCCTAAAACCCCATAGGGAGCAACCCAGCAAAAGCAAGCAAATTGCTGCTGCTAAAAAATCGATATACATCCAAAACATTCCAAAACTAACATTTGCAGCCTACTGATAGACCCAACCCAGACCTTTATATAAACCAGATGTCCCCACTTGATTGGCAGATCGGAGAACTTTGTCGGGGGTCCATGAGGCGCATGGGGAGCCCCACTCAACTTATTGTGAGAAACAAGGGCCCGCATGTATCCTTTGTGGATAGTTTAACAAAAACACAAACAAACACGAAAACGCACTGGTTTAAAAACAATAACACATTTTGTGGTGTGTTTCACTATAGTGTTTGTTTGTTTTTGTTTGTTGTGGTGTTGTCACTATAGTAAAAACTACCAAAACACATGGAGAACATCTTGCTGGTTGCCCTTGTGGATCCTGACGTCATTTCATTTCATCCAAGGAGCATGCTTGTTGGCTTTGGTCCCGTTTGGGCCTCTCACTGATGTCCCTGGAAGACCGCAATGCCATGCTGGAGGTCTCCTCCGCGTGGCTGGTTGGGGTGTGGAACTGATGAGTGGTTTGAGGTGGTGTTTAATCCCTTGGATTTCAGATACCCTCTGAGAAGGTGATTGGAGACACTGTTATGTAGGTTTGGAGGGTCCAAGTACCTTAATTCTGAGAAGGCAATGTTGACTCTTGATCAGTAATACCCCCCTAGGGAATTAGGTTGGGCAGAGGATTCGACCCTCGAGGTGGTTGAGGTCAGCATTTTTCCCCCATGGCCCGTCTGTGGAGCCCGTGCTTTTTCGAAGGTGAACACAGACGGTCCTGACCCTGTGGAAGGGCCGGACGAGTCGATCCAACGAGTCGATCGACCGTGTTCTTGCCGAGTGAGCTCGGATGTTCTTGCTGACGTGTTTCGTTCCTTTTCATATGAAAAGGTACACACCTGGAGGGTCTCATTCTTTCTGGTTCGGAAAGGTCGGTGTCCTCGTGAGCAACTCGGAAAAAAAATGACGATCCACAAGGATGTCCTCATGATTTTTGTTTGGCGCGTCGTGAGTGATGGTTCTTCTCACCAGGTTGCTCAGTTTGTTGAACTGATCGCAGGGGGCGAATCTGGTGCAGGGCAGACATGTTAGGCTCCAAAGATCCCACTGAAACCTGGATGTGACCCGCATTGACGTCGACATGTCTTCCACCAGAACGCCTGGACCCTGCGGTCGGACCCTCAAAACTCCTTTCAATTGAGGGCCCGGATTCTTAGGGTGGGAATTTGTTCCCCTTTAACACCCACACCACCCGGGACATCGGGAGGCTTCGCCCCTCCCAAACGTCGCGAAGCGTCAGCGACAGCGGACCGGCGAACTGACGTCCCTTCCGTTCGACCACCTCAAAGAAATGGTTCACATAATTGTGTAGCATAGAATCATGCAAAACTTAGTAAAATGTCAACAGCAGTGGAACGATAATACAGTCTGTATATGTACAGTACACTTCATGCGTGTAATGCCAATTGGCTAAAGACTCCCGTTGTGCAGACGAAAAGGGAAGCGCGCCCCTGCAGCGCATGTGGGAGAAAGGGTAGTCAACTTGACTTCACATCAGGCTGATTAATATCCACACGCATAAAGCAATGCATACTAACCAAACGCTTGTTCGGTATGGGGCGCCTCTTACATGAATAGGCCAGGAATCCTAACTCTCAGACCCTTCCCAGACAGGCCAAAAGCTGACCGTTCGGAATTATCGGCCCCGGCACGGAGCGGCGGTGGGTCAGGAGGAGAACAAGCGCTTAGAGCAGGACTTGGAACTTCTGGAACAGCAAATCCGCGAGACGAAGTCGGCCATCAAAGGCCACTCCTCCGCATCCAGCCACACTCCGCATCCCAGGGCCCCGCCTCCATTGGACACAGATGAGGTGGGAGTGTTCGAGCGTTCGTGTTCGAGTGTTCAAAGCAACTACCAACTGAGTTTAAGGCATCAGTTGTACGACGGGTGGTCAAAAGCTATCAATTTAGGCATGAGAGATCCTTCCCCCAACTATTTTGCTGTTTAGTATCCATATATATTTTGTTCAGTTTTCTCCTACACGGTTTCTGCAAAGCTATATTGGCTCACTTTGGACGACTTTGGTGCTCTGGCCAGGTCCTATCTTCACCTATGGAGGCCAGCGCCTTGACCACGCCCACCCAGAGCACCACATCACCTAAGAACGCCACGGCTGCCGCCTCCGCGCACCGGGCACCGGCACCGGCGTCGTCGGCCAACGTGACCACGCCGCCCACGTCCGTGCCCAGCTCCATCTCCGCGCCCGCGCTGGGTGCGCGCACGGTGAGCTGAGCCGAAGCCAAAATGGAGCTGAGCTGGATGTGCGAGACGCTTTTGTTGGGCAGAGTGGCAGAGATTGGGCAAACAAGCAGTGAATGAACATGTATCTACATGACTACAGTTGATGGAGTACATGGTTGTTTCATGTTGTTTCTTTTTTCTTTAGGTGATGCCTTCGGCCTGTACCCTAAAACTGCCCATGTTGGATGAACCCATCACTTTAAGGCGCTTAGCCTTCAGTGATTCATCACTGATTCGGCCACGTAAGCTTGGAATTTCTTTGGACCTCCCAAGGCCCAACGGGACAGTCATAATTATGCTGGACATGGCTTCTTGATCCTTCCGTTGGCAGGTCAGTTCGGTGACTTGTGATGTTCCATCACCTGAAGAAGGGTTCAGTTCGGTGACGGATGGTCACTAAGGGTTTACCTCATTCTGATGGAAGTCCTTCACACCTTCTGAAGGTGTTTTTCACCATGTTTCACCGGTACTTCACCGAGTGCATCCTTTTGTGCCGTTCGATGTGTCCAGTTGTGCAACCCAGAAGAAGCGATGACACAGAAGGATAAGATTTGGCTTGACGGAACCACATTTTTTTGTGATCCTCATTCATACAGACAAATTGTCCTCTTGATTCCTCTTGTTGATTGAATTTTACCTATTGTGAACCCCCAAAGCACTTCCTTTAAGATTTCACCCTCCTCACGAGCCTCCAGGCCGGTCACCCGCAGGGGTAAAAGACTCGTGGCTCATTCCCCTGGATCTGAGATTCTCGTCTTCACTGGATCCACAACCCCTTCCCCACAATCTATCGTCATCCTTTGAGGATCGATACAGAACCTTGGGAAATCATCAGGAAACACATAGGAACACTCTTTCTTCTTGTTCTTCTTCACTCCAGGCAGCCCTCGTCTATTCACTCCATGACTCCTTTGGCCGTTAGGGAGGGCGTGAAACCGCCCCTCCCTCCCAGGGCGGCGGCGGATTCCATGGACGATGCGCTGGTGGAACGGACCCGGCCCTACGGTGCTCCCGAGGCGGATCCCGGGAACGGCGAGTTGGTTCTGAGTGCTTGGTGGGCGAAGTGTGTGGATTCTTCAGGTACATATTGATCAACTTAGAACAAAAACACACAGCTCCCCATAGTAAAAGAGGTTTGACAATCCATGTTTGGGTTATTCATCAAGAGTCTTTCAGAAGAACATGACGTCCAGGCAGTCTCCCAACTGGGAGTGACCGAGTAGTGACCGGCCCTCGGTGAGCGGCACTGGCAGTGTACCCCAAATGTTCAAACAGAGGATATGACTCATTCCAGGACCCTCCAACAGGTCACCACCTGCGACTTTTAAGTCTACAAAAGCCTCCAGAAGAGACCTGTAGAGTCGGGTGCTGGTTTATATCATATATTAAGATTTATGAAGATTTATCAATCGTAGCTGGTCTCAGGGCTTTGAGACACTCATCGATCGCTCTTTGGGATGTTTGCGTAGCGTGGATCTATTTGGCCAAAAGCCTGTGAGCTGATCTCGATTCTCGTCATTTGTGTGTTGCAGTGTGTTTAAACGACTGCAATTCGCTGCTTGAAACAGTGGCAACCGATTTGAAGAATGAGCCTCATGTCATGTTTGCTCACTTTCCAAGTTCAGCTTTCTTCACTTTCCAGGCTCTACTTCTTTCCACCATGGGCTACCAAAACTTCTTTGTCCCACATGGAATGCGCTCTCTGCGCCTGATCACTCATCGCAGCTTGGACCGGCCCTTCCGTGTTCTCCACGGGCCTGATGCCCCGTCGTCTCGGTCAGAGCGTGAGAGCGTATCGACGTGTCCACCTGTCCTGCCCAGGTGGAGTCGAACGAGGTGGAGAAGTGGACGGGTCCGGGGGCCGAAGAAGACCGAAGAAACCTGGAAAATCAGAACGGTTTTGGCTGGTCGTGGGTGGATGCTGGCGATAGGTTGGCTAAGTGAGGTTCACCTTTTTCTCGAATTTGCTTGAGCTGCTCTTCGCTGGAATGGTTATATATCGTATTTGTCGTGTTCAATACACTGGACTCTACCCAGGCGATCTTAATTTGTGGTCTCTCCATTGAAATACACCCATGGTCGGCCCCAGGTGTGGAGTTCCTCAAGATGGGCTTCTACAAGGCCGAGGGGTCAACGGACTCGGAAGGGCGAAGAAACTCGTAGCAAGAGGGCTTTGGTGATCCAGAGACGGAGACGGATGTGCAATCCTTGATCCAATCAGCAACGGTGCATACTCTCACCGATCCAAAGATCCACCGATCCACAAGGTCTGGATATGTTTGGATTCTCAGTCAGGATCGATATGAGATCATCCGGATCTGCTCGATCCCCACGTGTTCGCCGCCGTAACGAGCGCGCTGCGCCGCCTTACTTGCTGGATCACCCATGGACCCCCAATGACCCTCATCGCCACTGGGTTGGTCTGCGGAAACGGGTCGAAACCACGGGTCCATTCTCAGGGTTCCTTAGTTCGTTTGGAGGAGGATAATGCAAGAGGTGTTCGCGCATACAAAGGGGGGACTTATGAATCAAGAGTCTTAACTCCTGAAAGTTCTACCAAGATCCACCCAGATGGATCTTGCTCAGGCGTTCTTCTAAGGGTGACCGAACCGGATCTTAGCGCATGGTTTCGCCTCTAGTCCAGCGAGGAGCTCGTCCCTGTCTGGCTACCCGGTCCTGTGTTTTCGTTCTGTTGAATCCAGCATAGATGTACCTCTAGATCTTCTACAATTGCCTTTTCATCAATGTTCATCTATAAAAGCCAGCCCAGTTCGGCCGAGATGTTGCATAGTTGTAAGATCTAGGTCCACGATGTTCACACGTGGCGTGGTCACCACGTGTTCACTCTTTTGACCAACACCCGACTAGTCGGGTGCTTTGTTCGAACCTTCCGACCAAACCGACCCCTGCGGCTGTCGGCCTGGATACGCCGATTCACGCCAGATGTGCTGGTGCAGTGGCATGTTCAGCTGCGTGAGTGGAGCTGTTGGGAGCCCCACCGGGTGGCGATCGGGGGTGGGGGGGGAGTTGTTGAAGTTGGCCATAGGGCAGGAAGAGTGGCATGTTCAGCTCGTTGGCGTGGCCAGGCACACCCGGTGTGAAGGACTTCCCTGGCCCAATGGGTAGACTGGTCTAGTTCCCTTCCGCCCTGGGCTCGCGGGGGTGGGAGGGACTCCAATCAGTGTGCCGGGTCTAGTTTCCTTCTTCCAAAGGCTCGAACTGGGAGGTCTTCCTGTTTCAATACACCAATGAACCCAATGAACACGATCACCAGATTTGGTTTTGCGCGTTTGAAAGCGCGGGACACTGGGTTTCAGCAGCGGTGACACTGGAGCACGCAGCAGCACGGATCCCCGAAAGAGATCTCTTTTTTTGGGAAAATACAGACGCTCCATGGGACTGCCACATATGCTGATCAGTTGGGGTGGTTCTGGGGGTCAATGTAGGCATATATGGCATACATGGAGTGTCTGGGAAAATAGTTTGGAGGACCGTTGGATTTTAATAGTCCTCAATAGATGTTCTATCTCGGAAGAGATCGTTATTGAATATCATGTATATACATGGTGTTCATGACTGCTTATTCTTGAGGACATGTTGTTTCTGTTTCTATATATAATGCATTTCTGTGGGACTTCCTCCCTTAGTCAAGGCAGCTTGCAGTTTCCTGTTCTTCCACCAGTAGATGGGCTGTTTCACCTTCAGGACTTCAATTTCCTCATCGGCTTTGGGGTCATCACAGGCCGTTACGTCGGGTCCGGCCGCCGGCTGGGCAGGAAAAAAGGAACACCAAAACGATCTGAGACCGCATGGCTCGTTTTTTTTCATACAGCAACGGTGAAAGAAGACAGAACAACTAGCTGGACGGTTTGTGATGCTGGTGGTGCTGGGTTGGTTTGTGTACATTCTCAGCATCATGCAGTAGTGCAAATATCAATGTCTCCACCCAGAGACTGGTTATGAGTCCATGGGACTGACATGAGACTGCCAACATTGGGATGGTTCGGGTGTCCATGTAGACATATGGTCCATACCGTTCCATACATGGAGTGTCTAGGTATTGAGGCTGCAGTGAATCTGCAGTCGTACCTGTCCATGCTGCTGTGAATTTAAGGCTCATCATGTCGTGTTTTCTCGGTGTTTTCTTTGGCAAGGTGGGGTAATCAGTGTTAATTGTTTCATCAATCTGAACCGCCCGCGTTCCTGACTTGATTGAGGTTGGGCGTTCCGTCACCCTCGCATCCGTCACCCTCCCGTTCGAGAACCCCCGCTCCGCGCAGGTGAAATGCGGACCATCGCGGGCAACGGCACCGATCCGGTGCGGAATGTGGATGAGTGGGAGGAGCGGTGTCATGCCGTTGACCTGGTAGGGAACATGGTGGGAGGACATGTAGCGGGGGGTGAAGAACATTGGTGCAGTGGGTGGGAAGGATGGAGGATAACGGATGGTATAAGGACGAAGGCACATTTAGGGTATTATATAAGTGGAAATCGGACCCCAGATATCTAAGCGTAGGGGTTTGGTTCCAGGAACATTTGCACTAGACACCACGCGGCTTTAAGGGGTTGAAGCCCACTTTCTTCAGGTGCTTGACAAAACACACACCCCTGCAGACCATACTCTGAATGGAAGCAGTCCTTCACCAGAACTCAAGAAGGTCAGCTGGGAAAAGTGAGTACCAGCTGCCAGCTGACCTTCCCGGAATTGCATAAGTAGGGCCCCTAAGAACTGAAGGGCTGTTCATGGAATCCAACTCTTGTGGGTGGTTTCGTTTTCTGGGTGAACCCGGGTTTCGGCTGATGTCTGCAGGACCTCTACAGTCCGAGTCCCCGGAGAGAGGGCACTGACCGAACGGCAACGGTGACCTGGGCGTGGTAGACCTGGCAGAAATCCGATAAAATCGCCCTAGAGGCCCTAGAGACACCATAACTGACTGGTGCTTAGTAGGGAATGTGGGAATGGATCCAGAGGGGCCTACAGGGGTGGTTCATTACCTCATTCCC